GCCCTAACCATTCTATGATTCTATGAACCTCATCTTGCTGAGTATTTTAGATTGGGTGTATGAATTGCATGTTCTAGACTTTCATGTATATACCTATTATAAAGCCAATCAGTCTGCCCTAAAATAAACGCCAGTTTGGCCCAGGGAAACGTACACACAACAATAGATTTGAACAGAAACTTTCAGGCGTTCAAAAGGTGCCAACGCAAACTTTCCTGCAAACTGACAAGTTAAATAAGACCAAAGTGAATAAGCAAAATAGTCATGAATTGATCTTATCTAAGTTTTTAAAATTGGCATGAAGCAGAACTTGAACTGCAAATCTCTAACTTCTTTAGTATGCATGATGTAAATAATATATGCACTTTGTTTATGTTTAAGTTGGATTTTAATTCTAACATTGGGACAAAAACCTTAATGGGTACAAAACCATTAAGTTGTGGGTGATAGACATTTTCTTATTAAACAGTGTTTATCAGATTTGTGACGTGTCTTCTGGTGTTTAGTTTAAAAGACTTGGTATTTGGCAGGCTAAGCTATATCTTTCATTTTAAGAGCAAGAACTCCTTTGCAGTAGTCAAAAGATTTGCCATGAAAAGAATTATTGGGAATATGGGGGCCAGTGTCAGCTATCTGAAAACGTCTCCTTTTCTAGCAGGGTTAGTGGGAGAGCTGTGTGCTGCCAGGTGGAGAGAGGGAAACTGAGGGGAAGAGAGCATATAACCCCTTCTGCTCTGCCTGGGCTGTGTGGCCTCTCAAGGTTCTGCAGAGTCTCTTAAATCTTTAATGTGTCCGGATAATGGAGGAGCCGCTTAGGTGAATGTTTCCTTTCCACTATGTGGAGCTAGCGGTGTTATGATCTAAGGCTTTGAGGGTGGGAGGATGTATTCTTTGTATGGGACCGTAGCTCTGTGTGTTGAAGTAGTGAAATGTCAAGACAAAACATCACTTGGCAAAAGTTGGAAAAGCAAAGCAGAGCTTTGTATGCTCTGTCTCTGCTTTCTTGATTTTGAAGGTTTTGTCATCCTCCCACAGCTAGACTCCTTGGTACAGAAGGGAGCCAAGTCTCTGCTGTGCTTCTGGTGTTCCAAAACTAAATGTGATAGGTAACATCATCTGTTTCTATGTTGAAACTTGGAGCAGACAAGAGCAGATTGCTCCCTGGAGGATTTTTAGACTAGATGTGAAATGAATCTTTCTTACTTAGGCATAGCAGATAGGGTAGATCCACATATCATAACAAGACTTGGCAGATGGTGGAGAAAGGTGCTTGAATGGGTTTAAAATATGGTTAAACAGGCCTGAATCATGTAGGAGTGCTGGTAAGACTGGCTTTTCTGGAATTTGGGTGCATAAGTCTACTCAGCCTTAAAAAGGAAAGTAAATCTTTGATCACAGCTTACTTAAGACTTGATGTTCTCTATGGACATGCCTTACAACTGAACCTGAAAGTCTCTTGCAGACAGAACGACATCCGTAGAATGGTTTGGGTTGGAAGGCACCTTTAAAGATCACCTAGTTCTGCTCCCTCTGCCATGGGTTGGTACATCTTCCACTAGACCAGGTTACTCAAAGCCCTGTCTAACTTGACCTTGAACGCTTCCAGGGATGGGGCATCTGCAATTTCTCTGGGTAACCTGTTCCACCCTCAGTAAAGAATTTCTTCCTTGTATCTAATCTGAGTCTACTGTCTTTTAGTTTAAAACCTTTTCCCTTGTCCTACCACTATAAGCCCTAGTAAAAGGTTTCCTTCCATTCATGCTGTTACCTTTCCTGTCACCTGCTGTGGTGGAAGCTATGAATAGCAACCCTACAATTACCATGTGTTATGTATGGTGCAGTAGTTTCTCAGAAAGCATTTCCAAGTCATCTAGCCTCAAATTGAAGTGTTAGAGTCTGTCCTAGCCATGGTGCCATTAGGGGATGCCTTCAAATATACTTTCTCTTAGCATAGGCATGCAAAGCGAGGTAAACAGGCTTATGACCCAGCTGCTAATGGGGACAGCGTCTCCAAAGCAACATCACTGAACATTGATAGATTGTTTTGTGGATGGAAAGTCCTAAGATTTCCCAAGCAGGTGAGAGTAGGAAGCAGAAACAGAAAAGGCAAGCTAGTATTTCTGCTTGCAGTCATACTGTCAACCAATTTTTTCCCAAGAAAGAGAAGCACTTTGTGGTAGATAAATTGTGATTGTATGCACAAATATGTGGGTTCCAAAAGAATTCTAACCCAACTTCAGGATCCTTGGCAGTTGCTGAAGGGGCTGAGGCTGGACATTCAGAACAGTCAGTTGGACCAGAACATTGGAAAACAAAATTTTGAGGGGAAGGTGGTAGCTGGAGGCAAGTAGGAAACTAACAGCCTGTACATGCACTGGATTAAACCAACTAGGGAGCTGGAGTCTGAGGTAAAAGTAGCTTATAAATGCAAGAACAAATATAGTAAGAAGACAGGCTCCGCTTTGTTGATGAGGTTCAAATAGCATCTGCTGCCAGGGTGACAGTAGTACAAAAAAAAGTCTCCTTTATGCTGTATAAAAAGTGCTGAAGGCTATTACCCAAGCTCCAAAGCGATCTGTCCATCCTCCTACAGAAGATCAGGATGGCCTCACAAATGCCAGCTCCTCTTGACAGGCAAACGTTTTTGCTCTTCTCTGTTGGATATTGAGACAGGCTGTGAATCTGAATGTACTACCTCCTGTATACAGCAAGATTCATGTCTGAGAACATGAATCCTGTCTGTACACTGATGGCACCTGTAAGACACAGAATAGAATAACAGCTTGTTTCTTAAACTTCCTCTCATGGCCTTGATGCTTGGGTAGAGTCCATCTGAAATGACTCGGGAGTTGTAACGCTCCCAGCCTTCGGACAACTTTCAGACATTACATAATGGAATGTCTCATCTGCTTCTATTCCCTCCGAGATGACTCAAACCAGCAAACTTAAGCACGCAGCGAGAAGCTCAGGGGTAAGTGGATCCAAGTGAATTCCATTCTGTTTCAGAGATCATATCATGATGTGCAGCAGAATAGAAAAGGGGAGGAGGAGAGACAGATAGCAGGAAGGAGGAAAAATGACCTCCTGTTTTGGAAGACTGCACAGAACTTGATCTCTTATATACAGAGACCATAAACGCAAAGCTCAACTTCAGTCAAATGCAGGTCACAATTCCAGACTGATCAAAATTTTTTGTTTAGGCTACAGTACTGTAGAAAAGGAATAATTCAGGGGTTCAGAAGGAGAAAGTGGGACAGATGCAGTTCAAATCATGCAGAACCCTCTTCTTTTTTCCCAGTAGATGTAATTGTTACTGTTCTTGATGTAAGTGCCTTATGGGCTTTGTGACACCTTTAGTCTATTTGCACAGTGACCTTAGCAGCTTTGACTTGGAAACTGTTGTGTAAAGTACGTTACTCTGGGTCCTCTTCCAAAAGGGCATGTGGCAGGCAACTTAAAAAAAGTGTAACCAACAAGGTTATCTTCCTGGGGAAGGAGAAAGGGAAGCAGAGGTGGAATAAAACACTGAAGGGTAATTCCTAGGGTCCTATGCTACTTACTGGAGCACATGTGGTCAAGGCTGACAGAAGCTGAGGTTTGCTTTGCCTGCAGACAGCAAGAACAGGCCCTGCTGACAAGGTGTGTGCTCATTCCATAATCTGAAATGAGGAACTATAGAAGCTATGACACCCTCTTGCTGTTGCAGGGAAATAGAGCATTGAGACAAAGGACGCTCGTAATCACTTGTGGAAAGAGGCAACTGAACAAACGTGCCCATAAGGATTACAAAGCAGTGCTCTGAGGGGGGGCTTATACCAGCATCTGTATCTCTCTGTTATTGCTTGTGGATTTGCCAAGTGTCTTCCCTGTTTGAACCCAGTCCAGATAAGTCTCTCTATCCAACCACAACCCTGCCCATTGGCCAATTTTAATAACTTGAATTTCTTAAGGGTTAATCAGAATAAAGGACTCTTTCTTTTACTCATACCCTAAGTTGAGGACTGGACCCTCTGTGCTGTGGGTGCAATGGAAGTATAGTGCTGGGTTAGACTGGGTAGCTCGTGCTTCTTGCAGTTCATAGGTTGGGCAGGCTCCAGGGAACTGTATAGGGTAAAAGGTTATCATATAAGACATCCTAGAAAAGAGAGTGTTCAGAAAGATTTTTAAGTGGCTTTTCATTTTTTTCCCATTTTTTTTTAGTGTTAATTCTTTAGATTTCCATCCTCAAAGAAAAAAATAAGTCACATGAATTTCTGATGCTTCATCTGATTTTATTTTAGCTTTAAGATACAGCTGTGCACTGATAACAGAATATACTCCCTGGCACTGAAGTGTGATGGGAGAGGAATTAAAATTAGCAGCTACTGAGGATGTGTAAAAATGTTGGCTTTAATTTCTACTCTCAAGGAAGGAATGAGTTAGTTCGTTCTTCATGGGAAAGCAGAAGGCAGAGAAATCAAGGGAGTGTTTTGTGAGTAGATATTCAGTTTTATTATGTGTTAGGTTTTATGAGTAGATTTCACTCAACAGCTGCATCTTTCAGTGTTTTTGCATTTGTGAGAACACTTAAAAAAAGGAAATACCCTCCAAATCCACAATCCTTCTGTTAGCCCACCCATCCATGAACTGGGCATTGTTTTGAGGCATCATCTTTCTCCACTACTTTGTAAGTGCAGGTCTCCTTGTTGAAAATGCTTACACATTTCTCTTCATCATAGTCAACTGGTGTCATGAAGCTGTCATTGGGTAAAGAAAGACAAAAAGATGATGAGACCAAGAAGTAAACAGCTTCAATTTCAGATGGTATCTACACTTTCTATAGGAAGATGTTATAGTGAGGAGGTGGTCAGGAGCAAAAAAGGAACTCACACAAAGTTCCCATCTCAAAAGTTACTTAACTTGCTGCTTAAGCAGGATTAGGGGAGAGGGGTTGTTTACTGATCTGACTTACACCCAAGGGATGTTTGCTGTGTTTATTTGCTACTCAAATATAATTGATTTTTCTTTTCAGCCACAATATGAACAATAATTGCATGAGTGCTTGAATGTTGCTATAGTAAAAATTATAGGCAGGCCAGTGTATCTTGAGCTGCTTCTCAGAGTAAATAGAGGCTATGTGTTATTTGGAAGATCTGGATTAGGAGCAGTAGAAAATTCTTAAGTAATTACGTGTTCTCTCTTGAATCAGTATCTTGTCTGAAATTTTAGCCCCAAAAAGAATTAAGTCCTTTTTTAAAAATCAAGAATCACTTTTTAAACAAGCTGTATTTGTCAGAGGAACTTCTTGCATGCTCAGTGATGATGGTATTAGGTTAATGCATAACCTTGTGATATGAAGTGAGTGAAAGAAGGGTCACAGCCATTTCTCAGGGATCCCTGTATGAAGGGAAGCGCTTTGTGCTGCGTCGTGGGAGAGGAGGAAAACCCCTATTGCTGCTCTGAACTCACCTGGAGCAGCAGCTTATTCCGTGCTCAGAACAGGAGCAATCATAGCAGTCTTCATTACTCCAGCTGGAACCAAATTCATGCAACTCTCCATTCAAGTCATGGCAGCCTGAAAACATAGTGTGCAAGCAGCCTTCAGTATCAGACCTATTGCACTAGCAACACTATTGCTTGTACAAAATGGATGGGATCTTTGTCAGCTTTTTACATTAACATCCACATCTGGCAAATACTGAGGTTCCCAATACGGCAGGACTGCTACTAGTCTTATGCATGGAGAAGGAAACAGAGAAACCCTCTGTTTCCTGTGGTTCTTGTCAGCATCCAGCTTCCTGGAGTAGCTCATCTTTAAGCACAGGAATCGGAGCACTCATCAGAAAGACAACTAGGCACAGACCTACTCAGAATTGAGAAAAGGCTTTGAATTCCTCCCTTGTTATCACCACCTATCGTTGACTCCTCATTTAGAGCAAGACTGAATCTGCCCATAAAACTTTTCCCAATCCTCAGTGATAGGAAGAAATCACATATTTCTTCAGGATAAAAACTTTGTCCAACAGTCATGAAATTTCAGATGATAGCAAGATGAGTGGTGCAGTTGACATGCCTGAGGGATGGCATGCTATCCAGAGGGACGTGGACAAGCTTGTGAAGTGGGCCCATGTGAACCTCAAGAGATTCAACAAGGCCAAGTGCAAGGTCTTGCACTTGGGTCAGGGCAATCCCCAGTACCAATACAGGCTGGGAGATGAAGGGATTGAAAGCAGCCCTGATGAGAGAAGGATGTAGGGGTTCTGGTGGACGAAAAGCTGGACTGTGTTCAGGAAGAACAGTCCGAGACTCAAGGGGAGAAGTCATTCTGTTCTTAAGAAGTTTCTTTGGGGTAGGGAAACAATTGTGTGTAAATTGACCATTTATGTCAGTTTATGTCAATATGTCAATTTCAGACCAAATGTGCTGAACACTTGCTAATCTGTTTCCTGCTTTAATACTGATCACACATACATAGAGGCCTTTCTCCTTTCTTTTCTGTATTTCTAAATATGCTGCCATAGTGAAAAAATGAATTATTACTTCATGCAGGTTTATAAACTCAGCCCATGCTATTTCCCTAGGCAAAATTAATTTTTAATTTGGCCTGTGTGATGCTCTTCAGATAAACTCTTCTTTTTTATAACATATTATAAATTCCCTGCTCTCCATACTGCATTTCCTAGCGGTCTCTCTCTGCTGTTTCCACTTATTTCTAAATTATGATAAATTGCACTGAATGGGCAAATCAAATCAGGCAGTGCTTGGGATGATAACTGTTCCCAACTTGACAGACAACTTCTTACCTACAATCTCACCATCAGACGTCTCTGACTTCAACGGCTGAAGGAAGCAATCAGCACTGGACAGTGTCATGCTAATGACAAGAATAAGGCAGGCCAAGATAGTTTTCTGAACAAGAAAGCAGAACTAATATGAATACTTAAGTAACTATTAAGATGTCTTCGTGATGAATACTGCCATTAGAAATAGGAAAATACATTGTGGTTTCAAATCAAAATCCATTGTTCTTCACCGTTTAGACACTTTAACACACAGTCAGAAATGCTGAGCCATCTAGAAGGAGCAGAGGCAGAGCATCATTTGGGAGAGGGTATAAAAAGTTTGTCTTTCCAAGCTGTTAAAATGAAGCATTGCCTCATACAAGACTGATAAACTCAGATACTGTTTGTGAAAGGAGTGTGTTCTACTCCTTTCCCCTCCCCATTCATTTTTCTTGTAATTATTTTCTCCATAGGATTGTCACCAACTTTCTCTGCCACCAAACTCATTTATAGTTGTAAAAACTTCTTCACTGGAGTCTGAAGAGCTCACCAGATGTTTCACCCTAATATTGAAGGATTAGGAACAAACTGAAGAAACTTCAGCTAAAGCTGAACCCTCAAGATTTGTCCCTGCTTTGATCAGGAGGTTGGACCAAATGACTCGCAGGTGCCCCTTCCAACCTAGATAATTCTATATTTTATGACCTCTCTCAGCAGCTTTTTCTGAAAGTTCGTATTAAATTCCTTAGTAAGTCCTTTGTCCTTCAACATCAGTTTGAAATGCTTGAAAGACTTTTTTGGGTGATATGGAGGAAATAAGTACAGGAACTCTAGGGTGAGATTAGCTGTGATGGATTTAAAATCTTGCTAAGAGAGGAAAGGTAGACCACGAATAAACAATGGCATATACACATATATTGTATCTATATGTGGGTTTTTTTGACAAAGTAGAACTGATGATTTATAAAAGGAAGTCTCATTTGAGAGATGGGAGGAGGAAAAACTAGCATTTAATCTTGCAAACGAGAGGTTAAAACCCACAGAACTTGAACAATGCTGCAAATGAGTAAAAATCAAGATGACATATTTAACTAAATGTTCAGACATTATCCAGACTTTTCACAAAAATGAAAGCCAGTTCTAGCTTGAGACACAACAGAGCTGCTTTCTGCCAGAAAAGAGATTACCTCCAAACAATTCAGGTAGGTGAAAACAGGTTATAATAAAAAGCCTTAGCTGGAGTCCTGCTAGACATCTCCTGCTGTATAGGTGCTGATATCTTTTACCCAAGGTTCTTAACTGCCTGTGCCTATCTGTCTGACTTCAGCTCTCAAAACAGAATTTCTGCTTTCTCCAAGTTGTTGACATCTCTGGGTACTGAGATAGATAAATCCAACAGAACCTCCTTTAGAATCTATAGCAGAATACCACAGTCTTTTACAGTCTAAGATGTAAGGACTCACCATACTTGTAGAATTATGAGGCTTCCAGTAAGAACACAACCTATAAGAAGCTCATCCTCTCAGAGAACCTATATAGACAGGGAATTTATGATGCCAGTCCTTGAGCAAACTGAACATGTATGAATAACTCCAATGAGGTTTCTGCAAAATGACCTCATAGGGTGGACATTACTAAAATAAGCCAATTGTATGCAGGAAGGTTTGGTTCTGAAAGGCACTGAAGAAACAGGTGTGGCTTTTGTGTCACATGAGATCTGGAAGGCAGTTATGGGAGGTACTTCAAAAGGAATTTCAAGCCTGGGAGGAATATTTAGCACTTGATCTGAAAAGCCCATTAGAGATATTGTGATTGTCACTTACAGCAAAATTTGCATGCTTAGTTTGAACCACCTAGGTTTTAAGAGATGAACTTTGAACAATCATTAAGCTTTCTTGTTCATCAGCTGAAAATGAAAGGAGGCTCTTGTGGAAATGGAGTGGTGGTTGGTAGCGTTACATGTAAAGGAGAGTTTCTGTGGAGAGTTGCTGGCATCTGTAGGCCCTTAGAAAAGGGTCCTAGATAACTATTTTCTCCCTTGTTCACTTTTCCATCATGTAGAAGACCCATATGCTCCGGTCTTTTTGTAAGTGGGGGAAAAAGAAGTATTTTCTTACTTCATCCTTGTAGCCAGGAAGAAATGGTCCTTTTTCAGCAGAGGCTGTGCATGTCAGGGACAGGCACACTTTCCAAATGCTTAAGACAGTAATTGGTAGCAAAGGAGGCAAATACAGTTCCCTTTTGCTTAGCTTTGATCTAGTTGCTACAAATATTGCAAACCCTGTAGCCCTGGTAGGGGAAGAAGTTTTCCCTTTATTACCAGGGCTGCACAGTTCGCAATACTTGAACCAACTACTCTGGCTGCCTAATTGTGTTGCCTTATTGCGTGGGTTTGAGATTTGAGGTTGAACTCCAAGCTGGGGTGCCTACTCCACATCATCTACCCAAATTCCAGAGCTGAGAGCTAGCTCAGGAGTCTGTGTGAGAAAGCCAGCATCATTGCAATGCATGTCACAGCGAGATCACCACTCACAGGGACGGCCTTAGCTGGCTTTGAACTCAGTAGGATGGGTAAATCAGTTTTTCTTCAGTTACCAAATCTTTCTTCAGGATGACAGAAAAGAGCTGAAGCACTTGCAGGTATTCATAGGTTTGATTAAAGCTGCCCACAATGAGTCTATCATTAATAAATTCGGTTTGGTAATGCTGATGTATGCACTTCCCTGTAACAGGAGGTGACTAACATCACAGCCACGTGGCTCAGGCCCTTGATTCCTACTCACTGGTAAACCATCAGAACATGTCAGTTCATGAGCACAGGTACTGGGAATTTGTCATCAACATAGTTCAAATGTCCCCTTTGCATCTCTCATAAATATATACGAAGCCAATTTAGCAGCATCGTTGTGGTTTGGGATACTGTCAGTGCTTCAGAGGAGGTATTGCACAGCATGTGCATTTTCCTGTTAAAGAGGGAAAAAAAGGCTCAGTAGGATAACAAATTATACCCTGATCCTAGACCAAAGCTGCCTTTTGTGTTAGTTGCAGTGAAGATGGAGAGAGTTCACACTCTGCCTTCCAGTGTCCTGTTCCAATGCTGTTTGACCTAACCGATTTACGTTTGTGGGATGGATAAGGATGAGCCCTGGCTTTGCATGCCTGCTCCTTGTAACTTTTATGTGCTGAGAAGTAGCTATTTAACCTTGGCTGGAAATACTGTGGGAAGCACCACAGAGTCCTATTCAAGATATTGGCTCCTCCATGTCCTCAAAGATAATCTGGAGAAAGTATTCCATGATAGTTGGGAAGAAAAGAACCATCAAATTACATTGTCTTAATTCTGTTTATGTTACTGAGCCATTTAATTATTTTTCTTCTTGTATATTGTGGAGTTTGCATGCAATGTTTTTCTTGACAGGCACTCTGTAGCAGTTTTTGTATGTGAATGAAAGTCATCAGACACATAGCAATTTATGATGCTGGTGTACTGGGATAAGACTTGTGGAATTTGTAACAGTCAAAACCCAGCCAACTTGCTGGTTTGATGCTGAGTGACAGGGAACGTGTTTGTTGCTTAACTCCAAACCCAAAAATCCAACCAATGAGTATGTGTGCTCTCTCAACTTTTCAGGGAAGCAGTGACCACCCAGCTGCTCCCATTGCAGGACCCTCCCTGTTTTCTAGATGCAAGCTATGCCAGCTATGGAGAGAAGTTCTTGCAAGCAGCTTTCTTTGGAATGCAGCAGGGAGTGACCTGTCTAAACCTGAATATTGTCTAGGGACAGTGAAGAAGCTCTTTGTGTGATCTATGAACTCAGGAGACCCTAACGACATGTTGTGGTGCCGAAACCACTCAGAACAGCAAACTCTATGCAGAGAGTTCATTCATATATTGATTACTGAGGTTATTTGTGGTACATATTTTGTTGTGTGTGTTCTTCATATTGTTCATGTACAGGATGACAGGTGTCTTACTTGTGTGGAGCACAGATATCTCCAACAGACATTGCTCTGTTGAAATCTTGTGTTGTCTTCCCAAACAGTTTATTTCTTACTAAAAACACTCTAAGAATATCAGTGCTTTGCCCAGTTCTGTGCCTTCTTTCCACTTATGTGGATGAACAGAGTAGCCTGTTTCTTCCTAAACCAAGGAAAAATCCTGGGGACTTTCTTGAAGATTTACCTCACTATTTTCCTTAGTCATTCTTTAGCTAGGATTTTTGGTTACATCTCACTGATGACCACAGAGATAATGAGAGTAATACAAGATTGTCAGCCTTGTTTTTTCTGTATCTTTCAGTGCTAGATGATCAACAGAGAAATACAGCATGATTTAGAAGCAGTGAAGTTGTTAAAAAAAGCCAAACCAAACAACAATCTAGCTAATACCTAGGAAAAGCATTTCTCTGTAAAAAACCTGAAGCTAGAAGAGATGCACTATAATGAAAGCAGTCCAGGAACTTTGTTTCTTAACCCAGCATTCCAGTACTATTCTTACATTCTTGAGAAAGATTCACTTTCTCTATGAGAGAAAAAGTGTAGGACTGCTTAGGGAAGATAAGTTCACATACTCAGTCATTAAAACCAGTAGTTTGACTGGTACTGTCACTGAGAGGGAAGAAGCATGAGGCTTATCAGCTCAGATCATAAGTAAACACAATTTTACAAATAAGTGAATCTTGACCTTAAACTGACAATGCTATGTACAACGTACACAGGTTTTACAGTTGTTAAACAAAGTCTGCCACGTTTGCGTGTGAGAGGACAGCTGTTTGAAGGAAAAGCACAAGCAAACAGCACTAAAACGATACAGAAACATATTGTAAATGTGGTAGAAGGAAGTTTTATCCTGGTGGGAACATTTTTGTTAACTGAGGTTCATATACCCACAAACCTCAAAGCCTATGTCCACAGATCTCTCCTGGTATAGGCTTTAGCAAAGAATTGTATTAATTTTACAGGCAAGGGGCATATATGGTGTGGGTGACTTGTCCTGGGTAACATGGCATAGCAGAAATTTGAATTGAGGTCTCAATTCAAGCTGGGAGACCCAAACTGGAGATGTCATGTCTCCTCTGATCTGAACACCCCTATCTCCTTCCATATGTAGCAGAGTCCCCATCCCTGGGCCAAATTTTAGTTTTAATTCAATGCTATGTCAGTGGGATGAGAAGCACTTCATTTTTCTCCCCAATTAGTTCTGTTGATAAGCAAAGATCTCTCTTGCTAAGGTGCAAATGCATTTTTTTAAAACACATGGTAATTCCTCAGCTAATCTGGAAAATCCTGTCAGGTCATGATCCCCAGTTGAAGGAGGACTGCTATGCAAGGGACATAGAGACAGACAAGAAGATCTAAAGAACTGACCACAAAATGCCAGGCTGTGTTTGCAAGGAGGAAACCTCCATCTCTGCAGTGTGATTAGCACTTAGGAACATAGCCACAGGTAATACAGCGGCAAGGACAGAAGTCCAGAAGCATTAAAAGAGAATGGATAGGAGTGACAAAGCTAGTCAAAAGAGATCTCAAATTTAAGGAAAGAAAAATTAAAAGTGTAGGAAATATTGCAACTCAAACCATGTGGTAAGAAAAAGATCTTTGAAATCTTCAGCGAACCAGAAAATGACAGAAAAGTTTATTCCAGAAACAAAAACACAGAGTGCTTCCAAACACAGTTTGTTATTCTGACTCTGCAGCTGGTTAAGCAAATGAAGATCATAAGTCTATGAAAAAGTAAAGACTTTTTGCTGGAGGTTTGACATAAGGAGTTAGCTATAGGAAGGGTGGTGAGTGGGAGCATTGCTGTAATTCTTGCTACCGGTGCCTCTGGCTTTATAAAATTTACATGGTGCAACAGTGGACCCTGCTCTGGCTGCACTGGCATTGGAAACACACCTTTGGTCCTCCAGGTGGTACCAAATTTGTGCAGTCTTCCACCTTTAACACAACCTGCACATGCATGCACGAAATGAAAGGAGGCTTAACTTCAGTTTTATGCTGTCAGTTACCTAGTTCAGCGATCTCTGGGCTTTTTTTGGGGCAAGCTCAGTTAGTTCTGTGTATAGCCCACCTACACCATATTTCAGCTCTATTTAGAGTGCATGAGCTTGTTTCCATTTTCTAAACTTGTTAGTCACCGATTCCATGAAGATAAAATTCAGCCGTTGGATATTATTGCTGCATGGACTTAGAAGAGACTGGGGTGGAGAGGGCAGCCAGAATGCTTCAGACAAATCCATGGGATATCTTGGCTTTTGGGATCTTTTCTCTTTTTTCTTCTCTGCTGTTTTCCACTATAATGTCTAAAATCCTGCTTCCTCCCATTTCTTATTCTACACCTTTCCTATCTGTTTCTGATGGGCAGCAAGTAGAACAAAAAAACATAAAGAGGGCTGTTGTGGCTCTTCTTTGGCAAGTTTCACCAGAATAGTGCCTTGGCTGTTTGGTTCATAATAACAGTATGTATTGCACATTGGTGTCAAGATGGAAGCCCAGGAAACACTGCTGTAAAACCCCTGTAATGTCTGGGACTACTTCTTGAAAATATTTTAACAGTTACTGAGAGCATATTTGTGTTAGAAGAATTGCTTTCCCCCTTTTTGAGAAAGCAAACAGGAATCGCAGCACCTGAAAGGGTAGAACATTTAATAGACTCAGGTAATTTTTTTTTTCACTAAATGACAGCTAGGATTTTGGTTTTGTTATTGCTTCAAATGTGAAATAGGTTGCAGCTCAAATGCATGCACAGTACTACAGTGGCTTTCTGATCGCACACATGTTAACAGATTGACTCCAAGTGCTGTGAAATCTTAAGAATTTGAAATTTGGACTTATGATAACAATGGGTGGTTTCTAAGGAGCTCTTGCATGGTCTGTCTGGTGTTTCCTGCAGGTGTGAATATAAACATGCTAAAATCGTATTCTTTAGTGTCTTAAGCAAATAAAACACAAAAATACTTCAAGTTTGGAGAGATTCTGCCAGGATTTCTGAGGATGTTATTGAAATTTGAGTAGTAATCAAGTAGTTTCATCACTGAGAAGGATGGAAAACTGAACCGGTACCTCTCTGTGTTTGTCCTACACATATAGCCCCTGTCTTTGTGTCATGCAAATAATGACAAGTATTCAAAACAGAGGGTGAATGATACATTATCCTACTTTCCTGCAGCTGGATCATCTCATGAATGCAAAAAAACATATAATAAAGAAAAATATATATGCAACAATGCTGTTAAGCATTTCTTCTTTCAGTAGAGAGGCTTTCCACTTTATAGCAAGAGCAAGTCAAGATTCCTGAACTTTGTTGCTGAAATTGTTTCATTTAGGTAAAAAAAAAATTTAGTTTCAGTAGTGCCAGCAACTGTGGCAATAGAAAACTTAATCCAATTGCATGTTGAAACTAAAAGATCTCTCTAAAAAAAAAACAACACACAAGCCCCCCCCCCCCCCCCCAACCAAACAAACAAACAAAAACCCCAACCATCTGGAGGGAATTTCAGGGTCTCAGTGGAGCCAGGCTATTCTCTGGAGCCTCTAGGTCAGTTCTCTCTCTGTTTCCTGGGCCTGGTGAACTCATCAGAATTCATTTTCTGGCTTCTCCAGTGTCAGCTCTTGTTTGCACTGGGTGGTTCAGATTCTGCTTCAAGTACCTGTGGTGGAAGAGGTGACCTTGCAGTGGAAGATGGGTTTCCCCACCCATGGATAACTTCTGGAAGGATATGCTAATCACATTGATCAAATGTGCTGTTTCTTCCCAGTGTCGTAACCTTAATGAATATATTAAGCATGAGATCCAAAGCTGTGCTAGATTTCTTGTTTAGCCATGTTTTTACCGGTGTTGTCAGCAAATCAGAAATCTTCTTGCACTGAGAAAGTCATCTTCATCTGTAGGAAAAGTGACACGTAGATTCTACAGAAACGCTTGGGACTCAAGGAGTTAATAAGGCTCCTAATTATAAATAAATAAATAAAGGTCCTAATAAGGTAATAAGTAGAATGGAATTCTATTTACCTTAAAAGTGAACTATGTATCTGTAAATCACTTAAAATGTGAAGTCTTACTGAGGAGCTACCAATATTAAGATCATGAAGGTGACCTTATGAGGTAATAAACTAATTTTCACAAGTTTCAGAAGAAAAACATAGCCTTAATTTGTAAGGCTATGGTAGGGCAAAACTTAGAATATTGAAATCATTCCAGTATCACATGGCACAGTTCTAGACTACAACAAACTGGATGTGTGCAGTTCTCAATGGTTTGAATTAAACAATAATCCATGAGGAGCCTTCAAGTCACTTTTGCTACTGATAAAAATGTTTATTTTTAAAACTGAGATTAAAAAAAAAAAATCTAACTTTTCTCAAAATAGCTCAAGTTCTGTAGTAGGTAGGAAGTCTTTGTATCTGCATGCTCAGAATATTACTGCCCCTAAGAAGCTGCTTGTTCTGTAAGTGAAAACATTCCTTCAGGTACCAGTTGAGGCTGAGTTCTGTGTAATTTTGACGCGAGCTGGTAGAAAAGGGGAAAACTCATTCAGGACAAATTTCAAAACTGTTCCTCTCCTGCAGGATACAAAAACTGTTTGGAGAAAATTTACCTTAAGACCTTAAGCAATGTAAGAACATTCGTTTTCACATGCTGCTGCTTAGGGAAATTTTGAGAAACAACATAATTAAATCAGTGAATGAAAGTCAGATTTTAAAAAGGCATGTGCAAATATTTGTGCTGGAAGAAGCTGAACTGACTCTAATTCTGGCCCCTCAAATCTTTTCAGCCTTGCAGGAAGCAGTTGTACAGAAACACGAAGGTACTGATTGATATCCAGCCTGTGGTGCAGAGAACTTTAAGAGGCCAAGAATGTAATACCAGTGTTTGCAAAATACTTGGATTTTTTTTCCCAAAAGGAGGTATTTTAAGTGAAGCCATAAGAAAGTTTAAAATAACATTCATAGGCAGATTACCAAAAACAAAGCCAGAGAAAACATACCAAGTTGAATCCTTCTGACTTCACTGATGGCTCGCAGAGCTTGAGATGGGTCATCTCAAGGAGCAAGCCTCTCTGCTGAATAAATGTGTGCTGACAATTGATTCTGAGCCAAGTGAGGATCCCTGCCCTAAGAATGCTCAGCTGTGTAACTCTGTGCTTTCACAAGGCAACAGACTTGTCGTGAGTATGGAGTACCCACTCCATACAGTCCATTTGTCCTGAAAGGTGCGTTTCTTTTCAAACCATACAACAATTAACTGCAGGCTGTTGTAGGTTTTTCATACTCAGTTCTGGAGCGAGGAGGCCATATAGAGGCAGTAGCTTACAGGGTATTGTTTCCTGGTCTTCTGGATATGTGCAGATTTAGAATATTACCAATTGCCAAGCGGGAGATTTGGTTTTGAAGTTCAACACTGGCTGGACTTCTCCCCTTAGGGAATGTAGGGAATTTTTATACTGAAGAGACAGAGTGCATCTGCCTTTTATTAGTACCTCAATCTCTGCTGCCATGAGGAAACATGTCTCTGCATCTCTTTTTCAGTGCGGGCAACAACCACTAATGCAGTGCAGAGTGTGCAGACTCTCAGGAGTGGGGCTTGGAGGAGGACACCTGGCAGCAGGTCAAAGTGGGCAGTGGATAGGTACTGCCACTGCTATTGGATGGTGATATTGCTGAAAAGAAGAAAAAGAAAGAAAAAAAAAAAGGAGAAAATAGATGATTATCTTCCATCCTCACTGTTTTTTCAGAGGTCACAGGTGTTAGCAGCAGGGGTCTTGCCAAAACTCCTGCAGCAAGTTCAGTTGTGCCCTGTGTGTCCTGAGAAGGGGACATTGCACAGCATGTCCCAAACAGTGCGTCCCTTTCAAATGATAACATGTTTTTACACCTGGTGAGTTAATACATCTGCTCTGACCCTTGGCTAGAACAGAACCCGCAAAGCATGAGAGCAGCTTGTGCCAGGGCATGTCGGTGCAGTGAGGCGAACGTGCTTCTCTCTCAAAGAAGGTGACATTGCCCAGTGTTTTACATAAAGAACCACAATTATGAAACATTTCTGGATATTTCATATGGATTTATTCAAAAAAGCTCAGTGATACCAATGCAAGTAATGACAGAAATGAGACATTGTATCTGAATTATGCATCTTGTATACTGAATTAGAACAATTAGGAGATTAAAAGTGAGCTGCTGAAGCACTCTTTCTTACAAGATCTCCCATGTCTTTGAGCTTCTCTGTGATGGCAATGCATCTGTAGAAATGGGAGGAATTCTACAGGGCAGAGATGTTTGGAGCAGGTGCGTTGTTAGCCCACACGAGAAGAGACAAAGCACTCCTTTGAGGGGTCACTCTTCAGCACCACATCATAGTCACAGCTTTTCTGGTTGAAAATGACTTTACATTTCTCTTTGTCATAACTAGTAGGAGTATGAAAGCTGTCATTGGCAAAGAGAAAGCAAACGTTAGACTGAGAGCAACAGAAGATTCAATACTCAGTTGTTCAGTGATTATAGCTTGAGCTAGTGCTGAGTGAGACACCTCTGAAACTATGGCTAAGACCAGACTAGCTAGCCCGAGTGCCACACTGCTTCAGCTTCCAGGGCCTCAAACGATGCTGCACTCCGCTGTGTGGATGCACCAGTGTGCTCAGCACTAGCATAGGGATTTCTAGCACAGCACACTACAGTGACATGAGCATGATCTCAGTGTGGTTTATCTCTTTTCCATTGATTTTTCATTATTGCCAGTTTGCTTTGAATGTGGTAGCTGTTTCCTGACAGACTGTCACCTGATGATCATAGTCAAGCCATTTTGGCCCTTTGAGAAGGCTGGTAAGAGGAAAGAAGGATGTTGGAGATATAGATACTTCAGAGCAGAGCCTTGTCACTTTAAGGTCGGCATGTTCACTGGAGAAAAGCATCTCTGGAAAGGGATTCAGATCATCATAAGCCCTTTAGAGGAGCCTCACTTAAGTCCTTTGTGGAACGAATTCCTTCCTATCTCCACCTTCCCTACTAAGGAAAGACTTAACTGCAGTGTAAGAGAGGTTCACAAGTTGCTCAAAATTAAAGGCAAGCACTAACTGGATGGATGTGTCTGGAAGGGCCTGTGTCCGCTCCCAGTCAGCAGAAAGTGAGCTGAGGTAAACATAGCCAAGAATCCAAATGATCAAGAGCTGTGTGTGGCTTGCCCTAGCTCTACGACATGGATGAGGAAAGACTCTCTTGTGCCCTTAGAAACTCATTTATTCCCAGTAAATGGAAAGCTGTGGTTTTGCTGTGAGCAATGATGCTAGCAAAAAGTTCAAACTTACAGGGAGCAGCAACGCATTGCATCTAGGCTGCAGCTGCATCTGAAGCAATTTTCTGTCCTAGCAATCTCTCCAAAGGGGTATAGTTTTCCATCCAGGATACAGCCTGCATAAGACAGCAGCAAAACAAAACATGTTCTTTAAGTCTCCGCATAAAGGCTGAAAAGTTTAAAAATTATTGCAAGTTTTCTGAAAATGTTTTTCTTGGTAATAGAAAAGTAGAAGTCACTTTGCTCTCTGGGTTATTACCCAGATTATTTTGAAAGCCTGAACTTGTTTCTCCTTTGCTTATTAGAGACAGTTTCAGTGTGACAGATCAGGGCTGGAAGTGAGCAACCAAACAGCCAGGTCTGCCACCTGGCACCACACTTCGGAACCACTCTCAACTCCAGCATCAGCTCCATGTGCTGGAATAGCCCACCCTAATAGCAACAATATTGCTGCAACCGTATCCTGTCCAGAGGAAGACTGTTTTTACGTACTTTTGGAAACCTGGTTCTAGAACCTCTTACTCATGTTTTTCTGATACTTCCCCCCACTCCCTCCTTGTATTTTGAGTCCTCCCTGGCAGCTCTACATAGAGACAAGCTGCCACAGAACAACCAAGTGAGAGGACCTTGCCTGTTCTTACCTTTGTTGGCCTCCTCTGGCTTGTTGGCTTTAGAAAAGCAGTATGCATCACCCAGTGTCACTATGATGCCCATTGAAACAAGGAAAGAGAGAAAGCTCTTCTGTAAAAGACACACAGAGCCCATAGCATGAATTTAATTCCACTTTAATTATCTTTGTTTTCAAAAGCTAAGTCAATGAACCTGAAGCAAAAATTAGAAACAACCTTATGTGTACATGAAAATGTTGGAAAACAGCACTCCAGCTATTTCACTGCATTGATGATTTTTTTCCTTTTGCTGGGAAGAGGCAAAATCGTATAACATCAATATGTCAGCAGTATCACTTCATGTCCAAGTCCAATCTCTAGAAATCACATGAAGCTTCAATAGTATTACACGCTTGAAAGCCCTATCAGACTCTTATTAGTGCTTTATTTATTGTCTTTGAGTCAGATTTAGCTATTTCTCCAGCAAATCAATGTCTGTATAGTGTTTCACTGCTTCACCAGAGACTGAGAAGCAGTGCAGGAAGTTATTTAAATTTTCCTAACAGCACTTGCAGATTAACATGAAAGGACTGTAAAATGAGTAGATCTTCCCAAGTTATTGTTCTGAACTTCAGAGACTGTAGCTATGTGAAACTGGGGTTTCAAATAGCAGTGAGAGGCTTTGTTTTCAGGGAGCTCTGCTGTCTACCTTGGGTTACTTGAATCGTGAATGTCAAAAGACACCGAAAGATCCTGAACCTTAGGCAGATGATGAGCCAAGGGGAATACCCTCTGTTTGTTATGGGAAAAACTTGCTTGATTGGCTGCTTTCTTACAAGGCTGAGGGACACTTATGGTGTAGTGAAAGGGAGGAGGAGGGTCTACAGAGAGGTCTGATAAGGGTGTAATGCTTAGCTTCCGTAGTGGTTAGGTGATTTGGAGTTCCTGAGGCTTTTGGGTAGAATAGAACTAGTTGCCATGCTAAGCACGGTAGCCTGAATGACAGAAGTTAAGAAGAAAGACTGAAACTCTTAAACTGTGCTATTCTGTAGTGCCTGGCCAAAAGAAAGTTGTCTAAGCAACTCCTGTTCCATGAAGCTGTAGGACATAACACTGCAGCTGGTCTCTGCTGAGGCTCCACGTGTGTTTGGCGTGGATCTGTTAGTCTATGTGCTGTGCAGCAATCTGGGGCTTTGTGAGCTCAGGGAATCGTGGTTTTTCACAGAGGATCTCAACATGCTTGGGATACTGCTTGCTGCATATTAGTCATTCATCCTGAGTTTAATGGTGGTTTTTCTCCAAAGTGGTTCAAGTGTTTGCAAAAGCACAGGCCAGTTCGACCAGAGCTCTTACTGCTATCACTCATGTCTTTATAGAAAAAATGGAAATCCTTCTTTTGCTGTGCTGGGCTGTCTTTTGTAAATGTTTTAACCTTTGTTTGCTCCAACATGTGTCCTTATCTTGCTATTCCTAGAAAAGCCAGTCAGATGAACTTGGACATGCTCCTCTCTCTAAAGACCAAAGTTCTGGACCTTCCACTGAATCTAAACAAAAACAGAAGGGAAAGTCTGTGGTAGCTAATCACTGTCTGAACTGGCTTTGTTCTGGAACAACCAAAGGATACATCAGCAAAGAAATAGATAGCAGTAAAGGGCCCACATGTAAGTAGGCCGAGCACAGAGGGTATCAAACAGGTAAGAAAGCATTGGCAGAAACAGTATCCCGTATTAGAAATGGCAGAGATTATTACTGCTATGCTGAAGCCAATTGTTCTTAGTTAAGCATCAGAGTTGTGTTCTGGGCGGGCTGTGAGCAAGGCACTTCAAGGATGGTTTGGGGTTTTTTTTTTGGCTTGTTTGCTCTCTTAAAAAAGGGATGCCCAACAGAACCTTCCAAACTGGATTCAATGGCCTTTCAAAGAGGGTGAATTAATGTGGAATGAGATACCAGATCATTTTTTTTCAACTGAGTCTTGTCTAAGTACAGACAAGCCCTCAGGAAAGCTTAGGCAGAGAAAGTAGTAGATGATAATTTCTCCCTTTGTGTATGAATCTACACATGTTACAGAAACTACTGCCTCTTCTGTAAAACTTGTGCTATTCCTGAGATTCTCGTCAAAAGGTAATAATTGATGTCTATACCTTTGGGATTACAAGAGCATAAATTAGAGAAAAACTGGGCCATAGGGCTTTGTCTATCTATTTAGCATTACCTAACTGTTGATTCAGATTCTGCAAGCACATTTGGAAGCTTGAAGAGCTGAAACAGGACACAAAATGACAGATTAAAAGAGAAATGCAGCCAAAATACACTGTGTTACACTTTTCATTGTAAAGGGACTATATTTTAAACTGTATTTCACATCTACGGGTTTTAAAAGCATGGTCCTATTTACAAAATTCTGAAAATTTTCACAAACATTTCTGAGAAAAAGATAACAGCAAGTGAAAGATCAAGAGATATATGTGTACAGTTTCTTGCAAAGAATTACAAAACAAACAAAATTCATAGTAGTCTTCACAAAAATGTCTTTCTTTGCATGTTGCAGTTTTTTTAATAGAACATATACACACTAAAAACGTGTAACTGTGTGATTCTTTAAATATCCTTCTTTTGCCATTTTAAAGCAAATAGTTATCTCTAACCTCATTTAAAAAAAAAAAAATCTAAACCTTTGACTTACCATTGTGGAGCACTTAGCTTCCAAAGAGCTCCAAGTCACCAGAACTCTGCAAGTGCTTTGTGTGAAATCTGAGAGCAAATATTTTATGATGTCTTTATGTTGAGCAATTCAAGTCTAGGAAAAGGAAAAAAAAAAAAAGCTTGGTCAGCTCAAATGCAGTTATGTTGAAATTTCTGAAGAAATCACTGAAATTTCGCCAGCTGGCGAAGAGAAAATGTTTGATTCTGTAGAGCACTGACCTGGGTAAAAGGTTGAACCTGGAACTTTGTATTTCTTGGAAGCATTAAGATTAGAAGAAATGCCTTTCTGATTAAATACAAGGATAGACAGCTACGCTGTAGGCAGTGTTGTAGTTAGGTGATCTTTAACTGTGACAGGATAGCATTTTTTCCTGCTATCAGTGGGCTGAAATATGCTTAGAGTAGGCAACTGGATATTAATAGCTTAGGGAGCTGTTTCCTGATCTTTGCACACTCACGTTTACTGCTGTGGTGTGCACTGTAAGATAACTGAAGGTATTTGGCTGTTACCAGTACTAAAACCTCTTAACATGCAGATCTTAGTCAAAGCTGGATCACATTACAACATTTCTTTCTCAGCTAAACCAAGGATTGAGTCTCAAATCAAAAGCCTGGTGTTGCTCCTGTGGGACCGTTCAGGCCTTGGCCTGAATAACTGTGATAGAGTATATGATCACTTTTATATGTGCAGAATACTTTCACAAGCAGTGATAAATTTCAGAGTGCTAATGAAATGCTCTGCTTTCCCTTGCTCCTGCAACCTCTTTTTTATGATGAGATGAGAGACTGTGGCCCTACCTATGTTTCAAAAAAAAAAATACTTTGTTACAGATGCTGGCAAGCAATTTGAAATTCATTCCTGTGGGAGATTTAATACCAGCTACAGGAAATTTGGCATATGATTTTAATGATAATTAATTCCAG